CAGGAGGAGAGAGGGAGAGAGGGGGAGAGAGAGGAAGAGACAGAGAGGGAGAGAGAGAGAGGGAGAGAGGGAGGGAGAGAGGGAGGGGAGAGATGGGGGGGGAAGAGAGAGAGAGAGAGACAGTTCTAGCCTGAAATGTCCTCTTTCTGAATAAATCACTAGTGACTCCAGTGTTTATCTATACCTCACTTACCTTCCACATGCTGAAAATCTCCCCACCCCATCCTAAGAGGTTTTGCAGAACACTGCTAAACACTTAGCTCAAAGGTGCTCCACGGTAGAAGAGTCCAGAACTCACAAAAGTTTGGGAAACAACGGGATGAGCAAAGCTAGAGAGCTTGTCCTGCTGCAATACACCTCGGGACCTTGAAAAGATCTTGAAGAGGGCTGCATGGTATGTGGACCACAGAACTTTTTAGGGGTCAGCATGTTTATGGGACTGGCGCTCACAGAAGAACAAACATCAGGAAACACAGAACTAAATCCATTGAGAAGACCGGTGGGTATAGCAGGGAGAGCCTTGAACAAAGCTCAAATTGCCTTAAATAGCTGAATATTTCTGATTATATTACTTTAGCTTTAAGACACAAGTTTACTAAATCTGTAAAGTTCAGTGACTGAATTATCTCTAAAGTCCTTTCCAGATTTAGTTTTATGCACCACTTATGTGTCTCTGGTTTTTGCTCCTTTATAAGTTGCCTATTATTCCTTCAGTTATTATCCGGCTTTGGTTAATGCTTGAGGAATTTTAGTATTCAGCCATCATGGTTTTATTAGACCAGGAAAAAATAAATCATTTACCTGCAATTACTTTCTCAGTGGTATTACCCATTTTGGGGTCTCCACTCTCAGGGCTGAGATTTGAAGGCCAACTAATGGAGTATGATTTAGAGCCCTTGGGAGAAACAGAACCTAGTGACCTCAGAACAGCTGGAATATTCCAGGCCCCAATTACGAATTTCTTTTCATTTTCCAGTGGCAGAATGTGAAAGGGGGGCAAGCAAAAGGAAATGATAATTTCCCCTCATGGCTCCTTCCTGAGAATGAAAAATATTATAAACTTGACTTTTTTCAGACGCTTATAAACATTTTCAACAAAATTAACACAGGCCATTTTACGATGAAGAAGGTCTTTTTAAAACCAAAATTATAAAAACAAAGGTGATAATAAGGTTAGAAAGATTATACTCTGCAGTGCACCCTAACATTCTAGTAGAAGACACTGAAGCTTAGAATAGGATAAACTAATCTTATGCCTTCTTTATAGTGTTGAGAAAAGCAGAGGACAGAATGCAGGGAGAGAAGGCGGCCTTCTGCATTAGATGTATAGTATATTTTAAAATGACAACCACAATTGGCTGGCCAGGCTTACATGTGAAAAATGAACACCTGTGGATACTTGTTCACCTCTAGTAACACTGCTCCATCCAGAGGATACATCAAGTACTTGGTACTACATTGTGAGGGACCTGAGGAGGTTTCTTCACAGTCCTTAAACCATGTACAAGTCCTAGAGTTAGCCTTAGGACCTACTTGAGTCTATGTTTATGGAACCTCCTCATTGAACTTAGTTACCTGGTATCCCAACCCTCAAAGGGTAAAAGGATAACATCGTGGTGAAGGGATGAATGGAGCAGTATGGTACAGTTAAACTGCTGCCACTACCTAAACAGCCTTGGGCTGCCAGGAAAGTTAAACTCATGATCAATAATTCATCTTTGGTGAATTTTCATTAATAAAGTGTTCGTTTTCCTATTTATCTTTTAGATTGAAGTTCAAACACTGCTCTGTCATCCCTTAGAGTGAACATAAGCGTAAGTAAGTGTTAAAAATATTTGTTAAATGAATAAAACACTTGATGCAATCCTTAGCGATCCTGAAATTTCACCTGTATGGAATACTACATGATACCTCATTGCCAAGTAAAGAAGAGGTCTCACATAATTACTTAAAGCACTGCAATTTATACTGAAATTATGTAGATACTCTTGCTTTCAATTAGTCAGTTACCATGAAGGAATATGATCTTGCTGTCAGGTTAAACAATGTGATGAGGCTGACCTGCTGCATGAAACTTGGGATCTTTTGAACCGGAACATTTGCCAGGGACATGACACACACCCAGATTTAAATACAGACAAACATTTTCTGTGTTTATATATACCCTAGAATTAACTGTACTTTATCTCTGACATAGTGGTGAATTGTCAAAACTATCAAATTTCAAATGTGGCCTTTTTTTGGGATATGGCACAGATTTTATTAAAGGGACACTTAATTTAAAATTTTCAGTTCCTTTAAGGTCCTTAAAGCATTATGTTTATTAGTCAAGTTTCTAATGTCTTCTCTGTAATATACATTTTGAAGTAGGAGTCTTGCTTTCTTGAATAAATTAATTTTTTATTTGTGCAAATGTAACTTTTCCTAAGTTGGCTTCCATTACAGACATAAGTCATATATTGCAAACTTTTTTCACTTAACAATTAACAAAGCAAGACATCTTCACTGCAGAAAATCTTAAAAAAACAGGAAAAGTAAGCCATCCATAAACATACACAGAGTCACAGTTATCTCTTTGTGCTGCATGCTAGATGGACTTTTCAGTACTATCTTTCAGTTCACTAATTCTACTTCCAACCCTTCAACTGTGTCTACAGTTTATTCCACTTACTGATTAAAAAAAATTATGATTTTTAATTTACCTTACATGTATTCCCATTTTCCTTCCTCATTTCTTGTAGATTAAAAATAGAGAAGAAGAAAAAAGAAACTGGAATTTCTTTATTGATAATGCTGAGCTCTAAGCAACCCTTGTCAGATTGTGTCCAAGTGATATAATCTGGAGTGAATTCATGCTCCTGTTGTCTATGTTGCTGTGAAAGGTGTGTAATTCAAAATGGAGTCACTTGTGTCAAGCCCTGGCAAAAAGGAACTGGAAAAGGAGGGCTCTCATGCACGATTTGCTGGTTAAGAGGAACTATCACAAGGCATTTTTCCCAACCGCAGCTCACTACATGAGTCACACAAGGACTCGCTGTTTATACAAAATGCTTGTCTGACATACTGTCTTGTGAACCCAGTCCAGTGAAACAGGCTACAGTGACTTTTAGATGATAAACCTCACCTGGTAACTGCTGCCACTCACTGAGCACAGCTTATCATCTCTGATGCCCCTAGGGCCAACAGACTTTCCCTCAAAACAACTTCAGGCCACCCTAGTCTGTGCACGGGTCCCAGATTGCAACTGTGCTTTTTTGCATTTTTCCAAATAAAGCCTTTGGATTAGAGATTCTCTCCCTACATTTTTTGTGATACTGACATTGCTCATCTCCCTTGGCATGAGATTTCCTTGTGCCAAGCTTGGCTCCTGCTCTCTGGTTCTTCCACGCAATGCAATCCAGTGGTTGTGTTCATGATTTGTGTCTCCCCAGGTCCTTGGAGGTCAGCATGCACTTTTCCTCATGGCTGGGGAGCTCACCACTGTCTTTGGCTCCCATCTTCATTTTACATAAAGTATTAATTGCCCCCATTGTTCCACAGAGGCCACAATCCAGTCACTGCTACTTAATTCTGAACCCAGAACCTCAGACGCCCACTTCATCCAGCTTGACATTACTTCAATCAATCACTTTGTTTTTATATTAGTATTTTGGTCTACAAAGGTATTCATCTTGTTTTTGAGTCTGGTTTTATCTTTTTTTTTATCTTTCTCTTTTCGCTAGCCATATTCATCATTGTCATAATTTTGGAACAGGGGAGATGTATCAAAGCATTACCAGTGATGACTGACTGACTTTCTTTCTTTCTCTCTCTCTCTCTCTCTCTCTCTCTCTCTCTTCCTTCCTTCCTTCCTTCCTTCCTTTCCTTCCTTCTTTCTCTCTCTTTCTTTCTTTCTCTCTTTCTACTGTATGCACATGCTGCCACACCAAACGCATTCTTCAGAGTAGGGTCTTGCAGTGTTGCCCAGGCTAGTCTCAAATTTCTGGCCTCAAGTAATCCTCCCACGTCAGCCTACTGAGTTATTGGGATCACAGGCATGAGCCACTGTGCCTGGTTTACCAATGACTTCCTAAGGGATCCTTATTACTTAGGTTTTCTGTTGTACCTGTCACTGTTGCTTATTCGCTCTACCAAGGAATAAATAGGCTCCCCGTATTTGCCTCCAGATTTCCATCTCCTTTTCTGGTTCTTCCACTTTTCACTTCTAGTTCTTCTCTCTTTTCATGTCATAGTTTTGTCATGTGAGATCTCACCAATTCTCTGCTTTTAGTCTCCAATTACACTTACTAACTTGTAAATCTGTATCTGCACCCCAGGGTCTTCCTCCTCAAAATCCGGACTGCTCTGCCTCACAGTCGGGGAAGCTCCCAACCTCTCTTGCTAAGTGGTATCACTTAGTCTGCTCAGTCAGCCAAGAAGCCATCTAACAATAATCCTAGGCCATCTTTTCCCTCACGGCCCATGTGCAGTTCATGAGGAAGTCCTATATCTTTCTCCTCTCAGTCTTCTCTGCAACTGACTTTTTTTGGATCCTGACTGATTCTCACCTGCACTGTTGTCTATGGTCTCAACTGGCAGCTCTCTTGTTAGCCTTAAACTATCTTCCCAAACAGCATCAGCATAATCAGGAAAAAAGTACAAGCTCTTGAGCATGAAAACAGAAATGACCTAACCTACATCCAACTTCCCAGTCTCATCTTCAGTGATTCTCTGACAAGCTATAAGTAGTTCTCAAAAGTTCTTTTCTGGTCTACAAAGGCAAAGGACCCGAACAGACATTTTTTCCAAGAAAACATAAAAATGGCAACCGGATATATGAAAAGGTATCGCTTATTACCTATGAGGTAAGGATGCTGATTACCAAAAAGAGATGACAAATGTCAATGGTGTGGCAACAAAGAAACCTTTCCACACTGCTGGTGGGACTGCAGATTGGCGCAGCCATTATGGAAAACGCTATGGGGTTCCTAAAGAAATTAAAAATATAACTCTCATGTGACCCAGCAATCCTTTTTCTGGATACATGCCTAAAGGAGATGAAATCCCCATGTCATAAAGAAATCTGCACTCCTATGTTTATTGCAGCATTATTCACACAGCGAGACATGGAAATACCTAATGTCCACTGATGGATGAACGGACTAAGAAAACTTAGTATACATACACAATGGACTAAAATTCAGCCTTGAAAAAGAAAGAGCTCCTGCAATTTGCCACAGCATACTCAGATCTGGAGGACGTTAAATGATAAGCCAAACACAGAAAGAAAAAACATTGCATGATCTCACTCATGTGGAAAATTGTTAAAAAGAGGTCAAGTATACAGAGATAGAGAATGAAACAGTAGTTACCATGGGCAGGGTAGGGTCAGGGGAGAATAAATGGGGAGATATAAGTCAAAGAATACAAAATAGCAGATAATGTGACGATCTGATGTACAATATGTGGACTAAAGTAAATAAAACTGTATTATATAAAGAAAAAACATGATAAGACTCTCATAAGGCATAGGAGGAACTTATCTCAAAATCATAAAGGCCATATATGACTAAGCTACAACTAACATCACACTGAATGGGAAAAAGCTGAAAGCCTTTCCTCTACAAACTGGACCAAGACACAGATGCCCACTCTTACCACTCCTGTTCAACACAGTACTGGAAGTGCTAGCCAGAGCAATCAAGCAAGAGAAGGAGATAAATGGCATCTGAATCAGAAAAGAGGAAGTCAAATTGTCGCTCTTTGCTGATAATATGCTCTATGTCTAGGAAAACCTTAAAGACACTACCAAAAAACTCGTAGATTTTGACAAATACATTCAGTAAAGTTGCAGCATATAATATTAACGTACAAAAATCAGTAGTATTTCTATGCACCAATAATAACCTAGCTGAGAAAGAAATCAAAAAGGCAATCCATTTACAGTAGACCCTCACAAAATATCTAGGAATAAATTCAGCCAGGGAGGTGAAAGATCTCTAAAAGAAAATCTGTAAAACACTGATGAAAAAAATTAAAGATGAAACAAACAAATGGAAAATTATCCCATGTTCATGGATTGAAGTAATTAGTAGTCTACAAAGCAATCTATGGATTCAACTTTTCCTATCAAAATATCAGTGTTATTCTTCAAAGAACTAGAAAAAATACTAAAATTCATATAGGACCAAAAGAGAGCCCAAATAGCCAAAGTTATCCTGAGCAAAAAGAACAAAACTGATCTGACTTCAAAATATATTACAAAGCTGTAGTAACCAAAACAGCATGATATTGTTATAAAAACACACACAGGTCAATGGAATAGAATAGAGAATCCAGAAATAAATCCACATATTTAGTTAGCTAATCTTTGACAAAGCTAACAAGAACTTACATTGGGAAAAGGACACTCTCTTCTAATAAAAGGTGCTGGACAAATTGAATGGTCAAATACAGATGAATGAAGCTGGACCCCTACATCTCATCATATGTAAAAATCAACTCAAAATGGATTAAGGATTTAAATGTAAGAGCCAAAACTATACAAATACTAGGGAAAACTCTTCTGGAGACTGGTATAGGCAAAAAACAAAAACAAAAACAAAAAGCTTATGACTAGTACCTCAAAAGCACAGACAACAAAAACAAAAACAGATGAATGGGACTTTATTGAACTAAAAAGCTTCTGCACAGCAAGGGGAACAATCAGCAAAGTTAGGAGCCACCTATTGAACAAGAGCAAATATCTGCAAACTATTCATCCAACAGGGGAATAATATCCAGAATATACAAGGAACTCAACTCAACAGCAAAAAAACAAATAATATTCCATTAAAAAGTAAGCAAAGGGTACGAATAGACATTTCTCTCAAAAGAAGTCATACAAATAGCCAACAGGTATATGAAAAAATGCTCAGTATCACTCATCATCAAAGAAATGCAAATCAAAATCACAATGAGGTATCATCTCACCCCAGGCAGAATGGTTATTATTAAAATAAACGTACACAACAAAAAACCCCAAAAAAACTGATGGTAATGAGGATGTGGAGAAAAGAGAATTCACACAGTGTTGGTGGGAATGTAAACTAGTACAGCACTGTGGAAAACATTATGAAGATTTTTCAAAAAAACTAAAAATAGAATTACCATTTAATCCAGCAATCCCACTACTGGAACTCTACCCAAAGGAAAAGAAACCAGTATATCTAAGTGCTACCCACACTCACGTTTACTGCAGCACGATTCACAATAGCAAAGATACAGAATCAACCTAAGTGTTCATCAACAGGTGAATGAATAATGAAAATATGATATACATAAAAGGAAAGGATCCGTGCTTGCCGGGGTTTGGGGAGAGACCAATGGATAGAAGGAGCACATGGGACTTGTAGAGCAATTAATATACTCTGTATGGTTCTATAATGGTGGATACATGTCATCATACATGCATCTAAACCCACAGAATGGACACCAAGAATGAACCCTCATGGAAAGTCTGGAATTCAGGCAACTAGGGTGTGTCAATGTGGACTTAGCAACTGTATCAAATGTGTCACTCTGGAGGGGGATGTGAATGATGGGGGAGGTTGTGGTGTGTGACAGCAGAGGACACTGCACCTTCCGCTGAAGTTTGCTGTAAACCTGATATTGCTCTAAAAGATAAGGTCTATATTAAATACATTAAAGACTTTTTTCCAGAACAACCGTAAAAACGTATGCAAACTATCTCTGTGATTATTAAAATGGTATGTCTGCTGGGTACAGTGGCTCATGCCAATAATCCCAGCACTTTGGGAGGTCGAAGTGGGAGGACTGCTTGAGCCCAGGAGTTCAGGAGCAGACTGGGCAATATAACAAAATCGCGTCTCTGCAAAAAATTGAAAAATTAGCTGGGCGTGGTGGCACATGCCTGTAGACCCAGCTGTTCAGGAGGCTGAGACGGAAGGATCACCTGAGTTCAGGAGGTTAAGGCTACAGTGAGCCATGATTGTGCCAGTGCACTCCAGCCTGGGTAACAGAGTAAGATGCCAACTCAAAATAAGTAAGTAAATAAATAGGAAGTCCAATGTTTTTGTTTTTTATTCAATGCTCTAACTTTCCAAACAAAGTTTTTAGGTAGAAGACTATTCAAAACAATAAAAGAAAGAATGTGATTTGGGCATATATCAACCCTTTACTGCGGGAAGTTTAAAAGGTTCTTTTTATTCTCTCATCACTGAATGTTACCTTTGGGATGTGGAAGACCTTTACACGAAATATTGTATCCTCCTGCTCTTCTCTTTATAGAAATACCACCCTGACTAGTCTTAAGCTCAGACAAATCTAAGAGATATGTTTGAATCAACGAAAGTACAAAACCAAAAGAATTCTAAATTCATGAGACATCACAAAATAATTCTAACAGAATACTTTAAAGCAGAGTACTCAAAAATTGTATTTCATTGCCTTAAAATCAAGGCATTTAACATTCTCAAACAGCATTTAAATAATAGGTTTGGGCTTCTTAAGTTCAGTTTCCAAGTTTCCATGGGATAAAGCAAAGTCGTTGATTCTATTTAACACTGGAAAGTTCCAAGTAGGGAAGTCTATAGATTAGATATCTGGATAAGGCAATTCAAAAGAAAAATACTGACTGATCTCAATAACAACAACAAAAAAGGCCCCAGTCAGTAGATTTCTCTTTTTTCCACGAGTGCAAACATATTTTAACCGGGGAAATTTAGTTAGAATGACATATTACTACTTCTGTCAGTATACCAAAGTCAAGCAATAGTCAGAAATTCTGCTATAACTAAAACAATACAAGACAAACAGTAATCACCACATGAGAAAATGATAACAGTGACTGCAATCCAATTTCCCCTCCCATTTCTATGGTCTTTAAAGAATTAGATTCAAACTAGAATGGATCACTAAATTCTAGTACAATTTAAAAATACTTTCTATATTTAAATGTCTCCTGATATAGTTTATATAAGCCTCAACTATTATATATAATAACCGAATTAAAAAGAAAAATAATCCAGGCCAAACTATTTCAAAGCACCAGACTTACTCAGAAGGTATTCCACATTTCACCAGAAGAGGCTGATCACTATTACTATAAAACACCGACAAAAGTGGGTGTCAGCAACTTTGTGTTAAACATCTGTGTTACATTTCCATAGCAGAATGCCTAATATATACATTATAAACCATCATAAATCACAACTGTAAAAGACAAAAATAAAAACTTACAGCTCCTTTGCAGTAGAGTCGTAACTTCCCGGATGGAGTGCGAACAATCACTGACATTCTTTTTCTAGCGCTGAAAGAAAGAGGTTTTCCATAATGTGTCATCATACGAAGCATATGCATATCTATGCTTGTCATGCCTCACATATTTTAATGCTCACTATGAAAAAATAAATTTCACAAAACTATGAGTCCCACCTGTCCACATATACAAAATATCCTCTGGGTGTACAGTTAGGTACCTCTGAAAGTTACATTATGCTTTTAAGGCACCAGGGTACCATCTACTGCCCTGGCGGAGTAATTTACAAAATAGTTCCCTAGAAATCTGCAAGAGTTAAAACCCACTGGAGTAGGAAAGAGTCCTGGTTCAATGTTTTCATATTTGAAAAAAATATTTAAGCTGGTATCTGAAAAGATGAATTGTATGTTATGGTTTTTTAAAATTAAAAACAGAAATGACAATCAATAATAAAAATAAATATTTATTAAAAACAGCAATGATAACTGGTGATACCCAACTACACATAAAAGCAAATACTAGCACTTTAAAAAACAACTTAGACTGGGCACAGTGGCTCATGCCTGTAAACAAAGCACTTTGGGAGGCTGAGGTGGGACGATTGCTTGAGACTAGTAGTTTGAGACTAGCCTGGGCAACATAGTGAGACTTCATCTCTACAAAAATTTTAAAAAATTAGTCAGGCGTGATGGTGCACACTTGTATTCCTGGCTGCTTGGGAGGCTGAGGCACAAAGATTGTCTGAGCCCCCAAATTCAAGGCTGCAGTGAGCCATGATTGTGCCACTGCATTCCAGCCTGGGCAACAGAGTGAGACTCTGACTCAAAAAACTAACAAACAAAAACAAACAAGCGAACAACAACAACAAAAACAACTTAAACACTCACAACCATTGTTTTTCAATGATTACTAGCAAGCCACTGGCATCATGCAAAAAACTTAATTTACCCTCACAAAGTTAAGCCAGGGAATGCAGATGTTTTAACACTGTGTTGGTGATATTAACAGTTCAATAGAAACTGTTAGTCAAATGTATACCCTCTTTCAGTGCATCAGTAAAAAGAACAAATGACACTGAACAGAAGAAACTGGGACAGCATTACATTACATAGGGTTGGACTCATTTGCACCCATGAGCGTATAAGCATCCTCTTCATAACTGAGGGCAAAAAAAAATGTCTGTATCTATTTGCTTTATCTTACACTGTTCTGCTGCTAAAAATCAGAGATGAGTTCAATATACAATAGCGGTCAGTGATAATATCATAGCACACAGTCAGAAGTCTACTTCGAAGGTATCTAGAAATATTTAAGTTCCCTCTTTGCCCATCCATAATCCCCTTAGCATTACTCTCCCAGGTTCCATATCCCTGTACTTCAGGAAGACATTTCATTGGGTGTCCCTTGTCATGACACTAATAAATTCCATCCCAACCCTTCTTGACTCATGCCTCTCTTAATCCAGCTTTGACAACATGATTCCAAAGTCAGCAGCTCCCTTGCTCTTTTCTCCTGGTGGAATCTCCAAATACTGGACAAATGGGAACTATCTTCTGTGGTACCTCAAAGTAAGTGGATATTGCAGCAGAAAAGTTACCCAGACATGGAGATGTGTGAATACGTGATATCCAACACCAACCAGGTGCTCTTATCTGCCTGGCAATCCATCCCGCCTCTCTAACAAGCTTGTTCTCTCACCCTGTTTAGGGCTACAGCATGCCTTTTCCTTTCTCCAAGTCTCCCAGGCTCCCTCCTCACCCCAGACCCTTTGGGTTCTTGCAATTCACCTTGATGAAAACCTCAGACATGAAAGTCATTTTCTTTCTGCCGTTGGAACCTACACACTGCTCTATGTGCCCGCCATTCCCTCCATCTTCTTTCTGAATAAGATGGAGGAATTCTTGTCTTCCTTTCAGAGGCCTTCCTTCCACATGTCTGTGAACCTTCTCTCAACCCACTTCCTCAGTAACTTCCCTCCAAAGGTTACGCTGATCTCTCATCTCCTTCTTCAGTAAGGACCCTGCACATTAGTATTTAAACATACTGTGTTCTCTTTCCCACAGAGCTCACCCCAACCAAGGCCCCCTTGGCCGAATCACCTCCTCTTTCGACTCTTTCACAGGCTAACTTTTCTAAACCATCGCCAAACACACATCTTCACTCACCTGCTCCCTTCATTCCCAGCCTTTTCCATCTCACATCTCTTTACCATTCCAACGAATGGCTACGTTCAAAAACAAATACATTTCAACCTTCGTTGTACTTAACCCTGCGGCCATCTCTGATGACCACTCTCTCCTTGAAGCCCTCCTCTCTTGGCTATGTGTTATCATCCCCTCTTTGTCCTCCACATCTTTAACACCAACATTGTCTTTTTTGCTGATTCTTCTTTTTCTAATCAACCTTTAAAAGTCAGAGTTACTCTTGGCTCAGTCATCAGTCTCCCGATTTTCCCTCACTTTGTTTTACCTCCAGGAGGGAGCATTCAGTTTTATGGATTCAAATACCACTTACAGACCAATGACAACCAAATTGATATTTCAGCCATAGCTTTCTCCTTTGGTTCAGGTCCTTATATTCAACTGCCTACTTGACACCTCCATTTGTATGTCTCACAGGCAGTGAAAGCCTTAATTCCAAACACCTCATCCTCCACATCTATTCCTGTTCTTCTTTCTGTCATTTGTGTAAATGGTACCTCGATCCACCCAGTTGTTCATGCTAGAGACCCTAACCTCTCCCCTTTCCACCCTCCAATATATCGCTAAGTCCCACTGACATTCCTTTAGATGGTCTTATGAATTCTATCAGCTTCCCTTTATTTTCACTACCATAATCTTAGTCTACTCACTAACGTCTTTCACGGAGACTATTTTAATAGCCTCATATTTACTTTCCTCATTTTCATTCTTAAGCCTACCCTCATCATCGCATTCTAATAGAACAGAAACTCCTAATTTTATTTCCTCCATAGTACTTATCACCTAGCATCGTGCTTTCTAAGTGTGTGAAAAAAACACACTCAAAAGCCAAGTAATATGCTCTTTATAATATACTATAGATATAATACAAGAAGGCTTAAGAAAAACAGTCACTTTGATGGGAAAAGAAACAAGGGATCCCTTTGAAAATACTCCATTCTAGTTAATCGTCCAATTTTTTATCCATCTTCCTTTGAGCTTTTCAGAGCACACAAGAAAAGTGTTTACTTAATAATAAAAAGTTTACTTAATAAGTTGTAAAGTCCCCCCATCTCCTTTGTTATTAACCACTGGCATTTGGTCACTCCCCATCAAGACAGCAACCAAAGTTGGCATAGAAGCAGAAATGACTCTCCAAGGCAATATGCAAGCTTGCCTTGCATGGAAGAAAGTTCGAGAAAAACAGTGGACATGTTTCTTTGAACAACAACATTACTTCCTCAAGGCCTTAATTTTTTAAAGTGTCCTGTTAATGGTGATGGGATCTTTAAAGACCCCATGGCTGAGGCCTTCCTGCCTCAAGAACATAGTTTCGCTGGGAAACTACATGGTCAGTAGGATAACTGCTTTGCTTTCTGCTCTTTCCTGCTAGATGATAACTGGTCTTATAAGCAACAGAGACATGGATGATTCCAAAGTCAATTAGAATGAGCATATAATTAGGATGGTTGCTTTCCGACATTGATGCATGTACATGTCACATGGATTTGGCACCTCTAACTTTTGAACTATGTTTCCAGATCATTAGCCATAAGACTCCCAGACCCTACGTACTGGTCCTGTGAATCAGGCAGTGATGTTCTAAAAATGTTTTTCTTTTCGAATTTTTAAACTGATACATAGTATCTATACACACTTGTGGGACGTAGTGATAATTTGTTAGGTATAACAATTTAGGGTATCCATCACCTCGAATATTTGTCATTTTTACTGGGAACATTTCAAGTCTTCTCTTCTAGTTACTTTGAAATACACAATACGTTGTTAACTATAGTCACCCTACTCTGTTATTGAACATTAGAATGTATTCCTGTTTTCTAACTGTGTGTTTATACCAACCTTTCTTTACCCCTTCCCCCAACTATCATTCTACTTTTTACCTCCATGAGATCAACTTTCAAAAATTAAACTGTCACTGAGAGTCATATATGACAACACTCCAAAGAAAGCTGTTTGTGATATGTCTACAGATGACAATTAAGAATGTTCTGAAGATTTTAATATTTTGTCTAAACAAATCTAGTTAAACAAAAACAAAGCATACTTTCTAATCACTCAAAATGAAAACAATGGATATACATCAATCTTGCCCATACAAATTACAGAGCAGATGTTTTACCTGGTGAACTCCAGGACATTGAGCAACTCATATCTTTCTTCCTGCCCCAGCTATAAAGAAAAGGAATACATAATTAAATATAGTTGGAAATACCTTAAGTTTCTTAGAAATAAATCCTAGTCATAAAGTTTATTGTATATATAAAAAAAAAGAATCTCAATACAAATTTTCCCTTTTGCTATATAGAAGAAAACATACTAATTTTCAGGTTAATTGAGATACAGGAAATAGAAAGTCTCAAACAGGAGAAAACCAAAAGGAATGTTGTAAGAGGTGCCAATGAACAGATGATCTGGTGTGACTGTATCGAGAAAAAGTATGCCAGAAGGTATGTGGAATAATTAGTACAGCAAACAGAAAAAAAAAAAAAAACAAGTAATGAAAAAAAAGTAAGAGATATTTTTCTTTGGGAAATACAGGAAAATTTATCTTCAGGAAATAATTTTGTGTTAGGAAGCACAAAATTAAAAAAAGGAAAATAATTATTGAACACAACAATGTTCAGCTATGAATACTTGTACAGGTATAAAAGAAACATTAAATAATGATTTTAAAATGAGATACAATTTATATATAATAAAATGCATGGGCCTTGAATGTGTAGTTCAATGAATATATATCGTTTGACAGAGGTAAACACCATCCCAATCAAGAGGTAGAACGTTCCTGCTACTAATAAATTCCCTTGTACCCTTTTCCAGTCAATCTCCTCCCTGCCCTAGGGCAACCACTGTTATGACTTCTACCACCACAAATCACTTTTGCCTAATTTGCATATAAATGAAATCAAAGAGGAGACATTGCTTTGTGTCTGGTGTTTTTGTTGTTGTTCAACACAATGTTTCTGAGATTCATCCATGCTGCTGATGAATCAATAACATTCCTTTCTCCTGCTTAGACATTCCATTGTGGGACTGCATAGAAATTGGTCTATCTGTTCTCCTAAATGATAGGCATGTGGTTTGCTTCCAGCTTTTGGCTTCTATGAATAAAAACTGCTATGAACATTCATGACAAGTCTTTTTGCAGACATATACTCATTTCTCCTGGGTAACTACAAGCACAGTTGCTAGGTCTGGCATAAGTTTACCTTTATTAGAAAATGATAAAGTTTTCCAAAGGGATTTTGTGCCACTTTACACATCTACTAGCAATGTGTAATTGTTCCATTTGCTCTGTATTCCCATTAACACTTGGTACTGTCAATATTTTTAATTTTGGCCTTCCTGGAGAGTGCATAATGCAACCTTACTGTGGCCTTAATTGCATCTCCCTGAAGACAAACGATGTTTTTTCAGGTGCTTGTTGGCTATTCATTTATCTTTTTTTTGGTGAAATGTCTGTTCAAGTCTTTTTCCCACTATAAAAATTGGGCTTGAATACTTTAAATAGAAATTATAATATAATTATATTTATTATTTTATGATAATAGGATAAAGAATTATATTACTTTCAAATTATTTCCCATGTCATTATTATACGAAAAAAAGAAACGGCCATTCAAATGAGAGAAATCCTCATTTAACAGAATAGTCAGTAGATATGTCTAAAATTGGAAGTCAAAACACATATCATTAATGATATATTTTTTGAAAATATGAGATGTACAAATGCCTATAGAAATAGAAGAACAGAAAGTGGTTGCTTCTGGAGTGAGAAACCTCTGTGTTATGATGAGCCTTTGGGTTCTGTTTTATATTTGAAGCTAAGGAAATGTATTACTCTGACTAAAAAGAATCTACAAATAAATAACTTACTGAATCTATAATCACGGAGTCAGGTGTTCTTCCAGTGAAAACGAAATTCAGCTGCTTAGCTGCTCTAACCAATGCTCCTTCATCTGTTTTAGGGAAAGAGGTTAAAAGCAGACACATGATTGAAAAAAAATTTACAAGAAAAATACATTCATGTAATATAATTTTCTGTTTAAATAAAGTTCTTTTTATTCTGGCCCATTACTGAAATCTATTCTTTAAAAATTACAACAATACCAAAGAAATGAGAATAATTTGAAATATCAGAGACACATATAGACCCCAGAGTCATATTCCTGAATATGAAGACTCACTGTTAGTCATGGATCCCCAAGGAGCTTAATTGAAAAGGACCCCTCAGTCTAGCGTAACTTCTAGAAAACCTCAAAAGTGAAGGGTGCAATGCTGCTTTAAGATTTACCCTTTTCCTTTTAAAAAAGTTGACTATGAAGAAACTAATCCTACTAACTGAGGATTCAATTTAAATAGCTTTATATGAATTGATGATTTTACTATATACTATTACTATATACTATTAATTTCATCATGTTATAGAAAACTTTTTCATTGCTGAGTATAGGCTGTGGCATTAAGAAAATATTCACAGTTTCTATCCTAACAATATGAGATTAACAATTCTTAAGCTTTTTAGAAATTTGGTGCATTCTACAAGTCACACATGCTGGCTTAGAACACAATTTACTAACACTTCTAACAACTAACTACTAACACTTCTCATCAAATTGATGATTCAATTTTTACACTAAGAATAGGTCTAAAATTAAACCTAAATGTTTAATATCAATAACCATGCTAATACATATTTATGGAATCTACTCAAATATGAAAAACTTTCCTCACCCAAATATACAACAAGCTCCCTGATTATGATTTCCAAAAGAGGAAAGCAAAACTGGTGTTCTGAAATCATATATGCTCACTACTTTTGGCAAGCAGATCTTCTTTTTCCTGTTATGTGCAAAAACAGTTTGACTAACAGGTTATTCTTAGTTATTTATAAAGAAGGCAAAAATCACTATGTGTATATAAAGAAGTACTTTTTTCACTTGTGAGAATTTTGTTATTCAATTTCCATATAACTTATGTCATATACTAAAAATTACATATACAAAGTTACATACTGTATTGCATATGTGTTTAATTCTGAAAGACAAGTTTCATCTCGTTAGAAAATCAAAGTTTTTTAAATATAAAAAAGCCCAATTTGGCTATCCTATTTTTTCAACTTATAGTGATGATTTTGTTCCTAGACAATGCTAAACTTCAGAACAATTTCCCACAGAAAAATACTTGACAATTGCTTCACTTGTACCTGGAGATGCTGCTTGGTAAATAATCTTATCACCTTCTCGCTCTGGCACGGCTGTGTGACAGACTGCCATCATCGTAAGAAATTCACATATTATAGGGGCAGTTGGCTGTGAGAAATACACATTGAATTTAGTCCTGTTCATTTAAACATTCTGACACTAAACACAGTGATATTACTGCATGTCTATTAAGAATATAGCTGTTACACATTAGTGGTGTGGATTATAGCCAACTAAGAAGCCAACATCTATTATAAAGAAAATAGATTTTTAAAAAATCTCTAATGATTCATTCTTGCAGTTTCTCAATCATTTTCTAAACATTTATACAAGATAATTTTGTGCTATCCGATAGAAACAGTACATATAGTGAAAAAGGCAGATACGGTTGAATCCTGTTATTGTAAGGCAGGAGAGAAATTCTAAGACGTTCATTTAGCTGGCTATACTTCCTGATCAGATTTAAATTTTAGACATGTAATCTTACTGTGGTTCCATTACTTTAAATCCCTTAAAGACAGGGATTTGTTTATAATGTTTCATCTTCCCTTTCTCCAAAAATGGTAACTTTAAACTAATTTATGTTTTGCTGAATTAAAAAAAAATTGACGGAGCAACTCCTATGTCCTTCAAATTAATAAAGGAAAAACATTTATTTCTTTTAATTGAGTCGGAGTCTCACTCTGTTGTCCAGGATGGAGTGTAGTAGTATGCTCCCAGCCACTGCTGCATTGACCTGCTTGGCTCAGGCAATCCTTCCACCTCAGCCTTTCAAGTAGCTGGAACTACAGGTGTGTGCCACTATGCCCAGTCAATTTTTCTTGATTTACTGTAGAGATGAGGTCTCACCAAGTTGCCCAGGTTAGTATCAAACCCGTGGGGTCAGGCAATCTTGCCTTGGTCTCCCAAAATGCTGGGATTATAGGAGTGAGACACCACACCTGGCCCAGAAAATATTTCCTTATGATCTTGAGCAATAGATAAAAAAATAAATTGAAGTGACTGAAAAGGTCAATCAGAACACTATTTGGGGAAAAAAAAAATGTGTTCAGGCCAGAACAGCCAACAAAACAAACATGGTCCCTGCCATGTGAAGCTTAGACTTGAGGGAAGACAGAACACAAATAAATACACCCAACATTGTTGATTTCTAGTGTGATAAGGACTCTACATAAGAGAATGTGCAAATAGCATGACATGACTTGGGTGAGTCTGTGGTTGTTCTCAAGATAATGTAATATTTAAGCTGATGAGGTTGTAGCCTCATGAAAAATTGAGTAGAGTGTTTTCCATCAAGCAGGAATGGAATAGAACTGAAAAGGACCCAAAGAGGGAAAGAATGAGGTGTTTTTGAGAAAATAAAAGAAGGAAGAGAAAGGAAGGAAAAGGAGTTCAAAGTGAGGGTGAAGACAGGCAGGGGATGGATCACGTGACTTTGGAGTAAAGAGAGAAGGCCGAGAACAAGTTTAAACAGTATCTGATGGGACTTGATATCCACTTGCATGATTCCAGCTGTCATGTACAACAATAATTGGAGAAGAGCAAAAATGGAACCAAGGAGACTTGGTCCTCTCCGTCTGATGCAATGCACCTTTCAAGATGCTTTTTCCACTGCTCAGAACAGTTTTTGAACTCATTAATTTTGATGCCTTTTATGCTTCTGTTTTTTGTTTCACCTGCTTCACATCAGCAAAATGTTTCCCTTTGAAGACTTTTTTCATTCGAGGAAACAAACAAATAAAAAAACCCACTCAGGGTGAGATCAGGTGAACAGGGAGGGTGAAGCACAGGGGTCATGCCATTTTTGGCTAAAAACTGCTAAACATTTAGTGCTGTGTAGGCAGATGTGCTCCTAAACCGCCCATCATGAAGTGGGCAAACACGCTGACAGAATCTCCCCTCAAAATTCACTGAAGTTGAATGAAGCCTCTCACCACAACACTAGCTGGTACACTGATGTGGATGGGCTCCTAGAACACTTAGTGGGGAAAGACTGTACTACAAGGAGCCCGCCCTCTAAAAAAATAATTCCGTTATTTTTTGGCATCTCCCCTTGTACTCTAGAAGTCAGTACTGACAAAGATTCGGTGCCTCATTTGAGATCTGGACATGGAGCAAAAAGGAGGTATCAAAGCCAAGCCTCAAGTTCTTAAAAAGAGTAATAAGGTAGGTGGTCCACAGTAAATGATGGTGAGACTTACTAAAACTGAGAGCACAGAGGCAGGAGGTAGAGTAGGTCTAGGTTTGGCTGATCCTGAAGCTAATGTTTTGTTCAAGGCACTCTTGAAAAACAAAACTACCCTTATGAACATGCTGCTAGGGACCCCCTCAGGGGCAGAGGTGGTAACTCCATCTGTGCTAGAGAAGAAGCACGCTTTAGGGTGGTGATTACGAGTTCAAGTTCTGACATACTGATCGTGAAGCGATTGTGAGAAAAAGTTCAGAGGATTAAACTCCAGGAGACCCTGAAATTTGATCTTATAGATTTGAATGTCAGTGACTTTATAAGCAGGATGCTCACGCTGAGTGGCAGATGTCTCGGGTTTCTATTGTGTTTTTGGTACTGGCCTATGATATTGAGCAGGTTGTTGATTTCTACCGATATTTAAAAATTGTTAACAGTGAGTTGTTTCTTAGAGAGTTCTATAATTATCAAAATGAAACCCTTTGAAAAGATAGACTATTAATTGATAATATTAAACCTAAATTTCTAACCAAGAACTCATGTTGACCAAGTAAAAAGGATTCAAACATAAAATTTTGATGATGAGTGAAAGTAAATCATGAAAGTGATCATGAAAGTAAACAAAAATGTAAACGTGGAAAACAGGTGAGAAACACTCATTAGTCTTCATTCATTAATGAAAAGAAAGTGGTTTTATGTTGCTTACATGATTATTTTGAAGATTTTCCAGCAATGATGAATCACTAAATGTTTTTTCATCTCCAAACTGTGAGCTCTGCCTGAAAGAGGAAAAAATAGCATAAGCATTTCATTGATAAAAGCCCACTGATCTAGTTGTAACTTACTTTTTAAGTAAAATTTGGGGCCTCCAAATTCTTAATAAATTACATAATATTTGGCCTGCATTTCTACATAAGACATCACAGATTTCAAGACTGTATCATAAAATACATTTGAGCATTCTAAAATGCGATAGACATTTGCAATGTAATGAAAAATAGTATTTTATAGTACATTTTTCTTGAGTCAAATTATATTATAGCCACATGAAGTTTAAAAAAATTAATATAAAAAAACTGCTGAGACATCTGGAATTAGACTTCTTCAATTTCCATAATATCTTCAGTTTTTATGATTCTAAGAATTCATGAAGCTATAATAAAAATACCGATTAATTCTTTTACTTCAGTTATATGATAAATCCTTATTTGTAGCAGCAAATATAATTATTATAAAAAACATAAGAACATGAATAAACTGCTTACATATCATATCAATATCACTAATATCTGAGCAGATATTTATGAACATATCACATCTGTTCTTTATATATGAACAAAGCATAAGTGCATGTAATTTTGTGTTGCAACTATCTCTAGATCAGCAAATGTATTATATATGTCATACAAGCGAAGTCAGAATTATCTCTGCAAACTAGCTATCATTAATCTTACAATCATGCAATTTAATATAAAAATATTGAGATTCAACAAAAAAGGAATGTAAAAAAAGGGTATAGTTTACAATGTTTAGTGAAAATATATGTATTGGGCTTCAGTGCACAAAAGAAGATTTCAGGATTAATTCACTGAGGATAAAATAATGTGTACAATACTAAACAATTATAATCCAGAAAGCTTTTAATCACATTTTTTACAGGTTACAAAGAGTATTATCAATTTCAGTGAATCAAATAGCAAGACTATATTTTTAAAGTCAGCAGCTTGAAAGGAAGTCTTTGAAGAAACAATTTGAAAGAATAAAACATACACAGTATCTTCAATAAAATACATTTCTCTAATAAACTAAAAGATGCAGACAGAATGTTTATAATACAATATAACTTTAATTTACATGCAGTACTTTGGTCTTTTAATGATCAAAATTATAATATAATATATCTTATTAGCATGTAGTAGTTTAGAATTCTCAAAATATCCTTGGGAGGCAGAATGAAATCATCGTCATCATCATCAATATTATTATTTCTCTAGTTTTAAAAGATAGAGGGGGGAAACCCAAGAACTTTTAAATGATTTAATGAATAGACAAAAGTTAGCATATATCTCTTCTCCAAACATTACCATTTATTAAAATAGATCACTATTTCTTTATTTGGGGCTTTATGAATTTTTCCCAATGTATACACTAATGATTCATAGTTACACTTTCCTACTTATTTGTTAGATAAATTGAAAGAATTTATGAATATTCAAAGAATATTCACAGTAACAGCTTACATGTAGAAGTCTACTTTCTTTCCAAAGAACTCCAGGCAAGAAGCCTTTATAAATCTGACGATATGTCTTATTAATTTCACTAATCATTCTTTCATTTCATAAATCAAGGTTAGCATACTTGATACAACTTTTAAGTAACAACTTTCCATTTTATAAATATATTTATAATCGAGTAACTCTAGATATGCAACTGAAATACCTACATGGACGTATCCCACTTTCCATTCCATTCACTAATGGATCTGCCATGGATAACGCTAAGTAAAAACTCTTCTCCCAGAAAGTGACTTACTTCTCAAGAACAGAAGAAACCATAAACAACACATCTCTTAACCAGACAGCCTGGGTTGGACAATTTGGGCATGGGGTGTCTACCATTGCGCTCCAAAATCTTACAAAACATTTACTAGTAAAAATAAACAAAATTTAGGAGCTCATGCCATTTAAAAGTAGGAACCAAGGCATTAAGGGTAAAAAAATAAACAATTGACAAACAATATGAATTTGCAAATGGTAACATAAAAATGTAAGCCAACATCAGCAGTGGGTTACGTTTTTCCCTAGGGAATTTTCAAGAGGTGCTTTGGTCACAAGGGGACAAAGACGTTATGGTGTCTTACAAGAGGCAACGAGGAAAGGAGTGTAAGAACAATGAGCAGTAACCCACAATGTCACAGCATCTGAAGCTTCTTACAGGCTGATTTAAGAAATATAATGTATTATTTAATTGTCTCCTGGTCATACAAAAGTGGAGAATCCCCATAGCAATAAAAATTCTTAAAAATTCACAAAGTATATGGTTCAATCAGTATTAGCTATTGTCATATATGACTAGTATGGATTATAAAATTTTTTAAAATTCAGAATTTCCATGGACAAGCCTAGGCATCATATATAATTTAGAAAACAGAACAAATAGATACATCCTACTGCATAAAGCTAAATATTTCTGCAGAGTAGAAACAACTGCAAGAAAAAAACAAAAGTCAAATTACAAACTGGGAAAAAATATTTCCAACTATAGAATAAAGAAATGAAATAAAAAGAACTCATAGAAATCAATTTTTAAAACCATCAACTATGCAGTAGATGACAAAAGATATAAACACACAGCGCACAGAGAAGGAAGCAGAAATGGCTTTAAATACACATTCAACTTGGCCTTATAATGAGAGAAGTGAAATTTAAATTTATCAACTTGGTAAAAATAAAGCTTGACAACTCTGTGCTCTTGTAACTGTGAGAAAACAGAAAAGCATATGTCATTGGTGAGAATGTAAATTGGTACAATTTCTACAAGGAAAAATTGTAAAAAATTTACAATTTTAAAATCCTTTGATCCAGTAATTCCAGTTTTAGAAATCTGTACTAATTACTTACTGGTGCAAAACACAGTATGTACAAATTTATAACTCGCAGCACGTTTTTAAGAGCAAAAGATGAGAAATAACCTAAGGGTCTACCAGTGTTGCTTAAAAAACTTTTTTTCTTTTTAAAAAAACATAATATAATGTACAAAGAGCAGTTCTTTATGGAATATGGAAAGATCTCAAAGATGATTGACAAACAAAAAGCTGGTACAGAACTACACATAATACACTCTACTTTCTGTAAAAAATCTGAGAGAAAATAAAACAAATGTATGAATATTCCTAGGAGATACCTGAAAGGCTACATGTGGAAGTGGTCACATTGGTCTTCAAGGGGAGAATGGAGGGTTTTAAGACAAAGAAACAGGAAAACCTTTTCCTTATTACACGCTTTGACTTTTTAACATGTCAATGCATTACAAACTTTAAAGATAAATTAAATTTTAAAACAAGTACAAAATCCATGCTAGCCACTGAAATATATACATACCCTTCATACAAGCTAAATTATACACATATGGGGGGGAACTCAAAGAAACAGAATTATCTTTTGGAGGGAGGGCCCCTAATAGTAAAGGCTTCCCCTGCTAGGTAAGTGTTCTAGGAACCCATCGGCAACAGTGAACCAGCCAGTGTTGTTGTAAGAGGCTGTGTTTGGCTTCAGTGAATTTTTTTTTTGAAGGCACTTTGAACAATTTTGCCCATTTCGTGATGGGTGATTTATGAGCACACCTGCCCACACTGCGCTGAATGTTCAGCAGTTTTTGACCAAAAATGGTATGGCTCCTGTACCCCATCCTCCCTATTCACCCCATCTCGGCCAAGTGCCGTTTTTGCTTCCTGGATGAAAAGAGTTCTCCAAGGGAAACATTTTGCCAGTGTGAAACAAAAAACAAAAGAAGAGGTGAAACAAAAAACAGCAGAAGCACTAAAAAGCAACAAAATGGATGAGTTCAAAAACCGTTTTGGGCAGTGAGAAAAAAGCATCTCGATAGATGTATTGCAGATGGAGAATACTTTGAAGGTGACTGAAGTTTAAATGTATAAGAATAAACACACAATTTTTAATAAATAAATTCCAGGTTTCTTTGGGTACCCCCTATATACATACTACACACATATACACACAAAAGATAAAGGAGCATGACTGTACAACAACTGTTTGCTTATTGTTGGGTTTTACATAACTTACCACTGGAATGAGAGTAAGGAGTGGGGACCTCAGTTCAGACACACCAGTAGGATGGGTACTGATGGCTGGGCACACATGTAAAACTTTTAACTAGCATGCAGAATGACAAACTACCAATTCTTTAACAGTCCAAATGTCCTAAGGAGACTTGTGTTTAACCACGTAAGTTCACGTATAAGAAATTTCTCTATTAAGAAGCTGGTGGCCCACACTTAGCATTGTACAGACAGAAATATTCAACGTTCAACACAGATCTTATTTTATTTTTGAATCAGAGTCTCACTCTGTCACCCAGGCTGGAGTGCAGTGGCACAATCACGGTTCACTGCAGCCTCCAAATCCTGGACTCAGGCAATCCTTCTGCGTCTGCCTCCCGAGTAGCTAAGACTACAGGTGTGTACCACCACGTCTGGATAATTTTTGTGTAGAGACAAGTTCTTGCTATGTTGCCCAGGCTGGTCTCGAACTCCTGAGCTCAAGTGATGCTCCCACCTCGGTCTCCCAAAGTGAGCCACCACACTCAGCTCCAGATTTTTATATTTTAAAAACCAGAATTCTCTCCACAAGTTTTCTTTTTTTTAAAAAAAAAGCAGGATTTATTAAGAGGACAGAAAAGCTCCCGCAGTGGGAGAGGACCTAAGGAGGTTGCCCTCTCCACAAATTTTAAGGTGACAGAATTCAAGTTCTGAGGTTTCATACTTAGCTTTCACTTGTTTTAAACACTTGTTTATTTAGAATGTGGATAGAGAACAAGGGGTTGCTAAGACCATTTTCTCATATTGTTAAATGCTGCAAAATATGTACCTATGTGCAACCTAATATAGGCAAAGGTTCTAGAAATAACTTTTCTTGGTTTAATGTAATTCCATATTGGTATGGGAGTGAAGAGACAGCTTGTTGCTAGCACCAAGCTATACCAACAGGGACACATGCACTTGTTTAGCCAGTCATTTGCTGGGCTGCCACTGAAGACAGGT